CGACGGCTGCGGAGCTGGCCGCGAGCTGTTGCTCTTTCTAGTTGCTCCCTTCCAGGCTCCGTCCGGTGGTCGGCATGGCCCGTGAGTGTGCGGACGGGCGTGGGGGACGGGAACGTCCGGCGAGGGAGCCTCGCACTGAACCCAGCGCGGGGGCGCGGCCGGCGGGGGACGGGGCTGGCTGGAGACCGGTCTGGGGTCCGGCAGGGCGGGGACCCCAGCTTCCATCAGCTGGGGAGGTCACGGTTGCGACGGTTCCGCCTCTCAGGCCAGACAGGTGCCGGCCGCTCAGGTGCGAGTTTGCACGTAAAGAACACACCCCCGGGAGAGGCCCTTGTTTGGAGGCGGTTTATAGCTGTACCTAAAGTCTCAAGGCCTAATGAGGACCCGGAGTTCCTCTGAATCCCCTCCCTAGTTCCTTTCGTTTGGCCCTCGGAGGTCATGATCGAATCGTGCTGAGCCGAACTTGTGACCTCCGTGTATCCAGCTTCCTCTCTCCACCCACAACCCTCAAAAGCCAGGACGTATTTTGGAATACTGGCCCAGGTAGATGGCTGGAATACCTGTTAAAAGATCTGGTGTTCATAGCTAACGAACACCTAGATTGGTATGATAATACTCTTAAGTCTTTAAGTGTTTGTGTTTAAGCTTCCTCTCCTTGTCCACAGATCTGGGAACACCAATGCAGTACTCTGCTGCCTTATCTATTCAAATGCAAACTTCAGATGCTTTTAAAGAAGGCCCTTTAACAGAATTTTTAATAATTTTGAAGATGGGAAAAGAGTATGACTGTTTCTTGTTGTAGGTGGAAATCAACGAGAACTTGCCCGCCAGAAAAACATGAAGAAAACCCAAGAAATTAGCAAAGGAAAAAGAAAAGAGGATAGCTTGACTACCTCTCAAAGAAAGCAGAGGTAAGTAGTACTGGTAGAATTCTCAACTCACTGACATTATGATTGCAGCCACATTTTGGAGAATGACAAGCTTTTTTAAAAACACTTATAGAATTGGGCCTAACCTGCAGAAAGGGGTACCAGTTATGAATATGTTTTGTGTTGGGCATACTGAAACCATATGGGGTAGTTATTATCCTAACCAATGGATGAAAAATTGAAAGCTCAAAACTTATGTTTTGCAGAGAATGTCATGCAGCTGCTCCACAACCATAAGAACTTTGCTCAGCAAAGTAACTTAACACACCACTGTGCCTGGCTAATTTTTTTATTTATTGTAGATTCAGAGTCTCACCAAGCTGCCCAGGCTGGTTTCAGGCAATTCTCTCACCTCCACCTCCCAAAGTGCTGAGATTACAGGTGTGAGCCACCACGTCCAACTGAGATACAACATTTTCTTTCTTTCTTTTTGTTTTTTGAGTTGGAATCTCACTGTCGCCCAGGTTAGAATGCAGTGGCATGCTCACAGCCACCACAGCCTCGACCTGCTGGGCGCAGGCAATCTTTCTGCCTCAGCCTTCCAAGTAGCTGAAACTACAGGCATGTACCACCACGCCCAACTAATTATTTTATTTATTGTAAAGACAGGGTCTCGCCATGTTGCTCAGGCTGATCTCGAACCCCTGGGCTTAGGCAGTCCTCTCTTCTTTGCCTCTCAAAGTGCTGGGATTACAGGATGAGCCACCACACCCAGCTAAGATACATTTTCTTTCTTTTTTTTTTTTTTTTTTTTTTTTTTTGAGTTGGAGTCTCACTCTGTCACTCAGGCTGGAATGCAGTGGCATGCTCATGGCCACCGCAGCCTCAACCTCCTGGGTTCAGGCGATCCTTTTTCCTCAGCCTTCCAAGTAGCTGGAACAACAGGCATGCACCACTATTTTTTTACTTATTGCAGAGAGACGAGGTCTCGCCATGTTACTCAAGATGGTCTCGAACCCCTGAGCTCAGGCAGTCCTCTCACCTCCACCTCCCAAAGTGTTGGGCTTATTGATGTGAGCCACTGCACCCAGCCAAGATACATTTTCTTTTTTTTTTTTTTTTTTTTTTGGTTGGAGTCTCACTTTGCCACCCAGACTGGAGTG